GTCCTGTAAAAATTGTCACGTGTGCGGAAGGTCATCAATTTGGCGACACCAGAAACAGGGGCTTCTGAAACCGTTACCGGTACCTGATAGATTCCATCAAGAGCTTTCCATTGACTTTATGGTGGAACTTCCTAAATCAAACGGTGCAACAAATATCATGGTAATCACTGATAGACTGTTGAAATCAGTGACACTGGAGGCTATGGACAAAATGGATGCAGAAACTTGCGCAAAACGATTTATAGAATGTCATTGGCGTTACCATGGATTCCCAAAAGCATTAACTAGCGATAGAGGGTCAAATTGGACGAGTAAATTCTGGAAACGATTGTGCGAGTTAGTTGGAATTGAACAGAGGCTGAGCACAGCCTATCACCCTCAAACCGATGGAGCAACGGAAAGAATGAACCAGGAAGTTCAAACATACCTGCGAGCATATATTTCCTACACCCAACATGATTGGTCTGATTCACTTGCTGCTGCTCAAATTGCTATAAATAATCGAGATGTTGTATCCTTAGGCGGCATAAGTCCATTTTTTGCGACACACGGATATCATGTGAACCCCATCCAAATTGTTACTAATCAGTCAATCATTCCAGCATCTACAGGAAAAGAAAGGGCTGAACAATTTGTCGAAAGGTTAGAAAAGGTCACCATTTTTATGCAATCTGCCATGGCAGCCATTCAGGAACGATATAAAGATTTGACAGATAAGAAGAGACAGCCAGCACCAAGGTACGAAATCGGTGATAAAGTTTGGCTCCTTTTACGGAATATTAGATTGGAAGATCAACCTTCCAAAAAATTAGGCTGGCAGCATGCAAAGTATACTGTCACAAAAATAATTTCGCCTGAGGTAGTGCAACTGAATATACCGGGAAAAGTTCATAATAAATTTCATGTGGATTTGCTCATACCTGCAGAAGAAAATCCGTTGCCTTCACAAATACTAGAAGATGAAAACCCAGGACCAATCACTAGTGATGATGGCGAAGAAGAGTACCAGATTGACGAAGTGCTTAGGTGCAGAACAAAAAAGGGGGAGCGACAGGCTTTAGTGAAGTGGACTGGAATGGCACAGCCAGAGTGGACATCACTGATAAATTTGCAAGATGCTGTAGCTCTAGACGTTTGGGAGAAAAAGTGGGGTTCTGCAGAGACAAATAATGGGCCAGCATTAAGGAAAAAGAAGAGGAGAGGGTAAACGGGGGGGTAATGTTACGGTTTGACCGTTGTTTGAGCTTAGGTGGATACCTAAGCCTGATACTAAGAATCCTTACAATGAGGCTGTATGGGGGTGGAGATGAAGCTGAACAAAACGGCACTACTACTCAGGAGGCTGAAGCGTCATTACAACTTAGTGACACCTGGAAATACGTGGCTGGGTAGAAGTATTGAGCCTGAGGACAAGTCACTAGTCTGTAGATTCACGAGGAGGATTAACTCCTATAAATACCTGTTAGTAGTAGCTAGAGTTAGCTTTTCTCCTCATATAGTTTATTAAATCGATTTATTCATCACCAACTTGGTTTCCGTCACACTGAGCCATGGAAGGGGTAAGATTCTAAGAAAGGCGGAAACTCTATCATTCGAAGCTACGATGAACAATCCAAATACTCTAATAAGAATAGCAAGATAGATTCAACAGAAAGATAGATTAGAACAGTTTCGATTGGCAGTTGAAGTGGAGGCTAATAAAACTAATGCAGCAACATGACTGCAGTAGTCAAATAGTTCATATTAGAATAATATACACTTGCGCTATGAGATGTGATTAACCCATGTCATCACTCACCGGTATAAACAGTAATTACCCAATAGATGCCTGACTGGATCCATTGGCTTAACGATCTCCAACAACTTTCCCAATTAGTTAGGTTAAGGAAGTAAGTTGGAATTCACACTGGTGTACTGAGAACTCCGCTTTCACGTATATAGAGTGACTTCTCGCCAAGTAAAAAAATACAGCTTTTTCCTTATAATTATCTATCCATTAGCCGGAAAAGGATAATTCTTCACCTTCCAGTGGTGCCGGTGTAATCGCTCAGTATGCTCTGCATATCTGGGATAGCCAAGAAGAATTGTGTTGGAAATTCTAACTCTCGAATTTAGGACTCAATGTTATGATATGGAAACACACTAGTCTTACTGTGGACAGTCAAGGGTACGCACGATAATGTTGGGCTCAACATTGTAAGGAAAGAGCACTGAGAGACTGGCTCGATCACCGTAGCGCAGAATACATTATTCTTCCCTCGTATGTAGTTAGCAGGATACATAGTTCACACACACACCTGTCACTAAGGCTATTACACACACCTGCATTCATTTATCCACTTACTGTTACATTATCTTTCTCCATTTATTACGTGAGTTACTCATCGCATCTCTTAGAACCCACACACGTGCTGTAGTCAGCACGTCACCTCAGGTATCACAATTATACACCATAACGTATAACCATAATACTCAACCACTACCTGTTTCGTCTCAGGTTCCCGACACGATCGACTCTCTCTACACATGTCACGAGTGCGCTAATCGCGCCTACTATTGCATATACGTTTGGATATTTACGTAGTACAGTGTATCCTGGCTCATCATGGTAAATGAGAGGCTGCTGGTCATCACTAGGTTTGACAGGCACATGAGACTAGTGGGAATTTCTCCCCTAAGATGTATATATAAGTTCAATGTTCACCTATTTGTAAAATATCAAGTCTTCTTTACTTCATGATATTTATCCATATAAAATTGTACAGAGTATATTTTCCAAAAAATTGCATCCGAATCGAAATCGAAAACATTCTCAAGCATATCTCCATTTGACGACTTCTAGACAATACCTCTCTTATCATTATCATCTGAGTCCTCAACCCATCTCTAACCACGCGTCATCTCGCCTCAACGACCTATAAAGAAGTTGCTCCAATTGCAAACAGGGGCTTGCCTCATCAATTTCCAGCCATCTCTCATTATATATTTACGACGCTATTTATACCCGCTAGGAGGAAATCAAGTCGAGAAACACAAAGTCTGGGTCCTGGCTTATGGGGGACTGTTGCTATATTAGGACAAAAAACTTGAGGAAGAACAGGCGGTTGAGATGTTGAGCGAGAGGGGGAACAGGTCTCTGAAGACCATGCTGAGACCGATATTATCGAGGGGTTTTCAACTTTGTAAAGTTTTTGGGTGCCAAAACCGATATTTTGGCTAATTAGCCGAGAGGGCTTCTATTGTTGATAAGTCAACGCCACTCCCCAGCGCCCTGGACGGCACAAAAGAAGTTGGACAAAGCTATTATACAACAATCACGCTCTATCAAGACTTTTCTGATATTCCAGCACGACCTTCGTGAAGGAGTTGGAAGGAGGCCAGAAAGGCAGAGTACCAATTTCCCGAGGTACACACAAGTCTGCAGCCCCCAGCTAGCCGGCCTCTTCAGACGCTTCGAAGGGACACTGTATCTTCGGATTTAGTCCTTATGTTGGTATTGGAAGAGCGCCGCACCCAGTGGGGTTTGAAAAATTTCCCGGATGCTATACACCCACAAATGGCCATCGTTTCGTTGGCTAGAGAGGGGAGATAATGAAGGGCAAACGGCTCCTCTAAGTGTATGATCGAATGAGGGCATTGGAGGGGTGATACTTTTTGAGGGGAGCTGTATGGGAGGCATAGGAGGTGATATACTACTGGCATAGATATCCTTGGCCAGTAGGCAGAGAGGACCTGCATGTCCTACATAGTCAGACTCAGAAAGGACAATGAAATGAAATGATAATAATAACTGCACTCTCGCAAGCGAAGTCATGGCTCGCACAAAGCTCAATTCGTTAACCTCTTTGCCAATATTCGAGATTTCACGTCCATCCCAAAGGAACTGTCTCCCAGATTTATGCGACACGCTTTGCTTCCTCCGTCGGGTATAAATGTCGGCGTGGGCGTGTATTTGGTGTTCAACTGAGGCCAGAGAAGGCTGAAGAGTGGTATAGTCATTTGGATGAGGATGTGATAAGTCGTTCTTGTAGACTTGATGAGGCTTAGGTAGAATTCGATCTCTGTGGGAATGAAAAATTTGACGTGGTGAAGTATTTTGAATCATTGTCTCGTGGGCCAACTTGTTCGGTATTGCGAAATTTTGACTGAACTTGACTCGGGGAGAATATTTCACACCCAGGTTCGTAGAGGACACCGCGTACGGGTGTTCAGTCTTGCCCTCCAGACCCCCACTCGAGGTGCTGATGTGCACGGGTGACGAAGGCATGCTGTGATAACCAAATGTTCCGAACTTCCTGTTGGTGGGTACTTATTATTTCGCATCAGATTTTAGTTGCGTAAATAGTTGTCTAGCTACGACACAATTTTGGATAAGAGGTACAAAAACAATGACTAAGTATATAAGAGCACACATGCCTCGAATTTCATTTGCAAGTATCAGTGCGAAGTAATGGGGGCCTTTGTGGGTACTTACGGTCGAGAATCCACTGTTTGCGTAAGCAAATATACCTCACAGTGGTATTTGAAAAAAAATACAGAGTATGAGTGCCTCTAACTCCAAAAGAGTCATCCCACATGTATACACCGCACTTGTCATGTGTCACAAGTAGACAGCTATGTATACATTAAATGATTCAAATAAAAGTGGGCGAAATCGGTGCTCCGTATCAAGAATAATAGCCCTTTTGATGAGAAATTTCAACTAAAGCATTCAAATTTTGGGAGATAAGATTAGTTGAGTTAATTATGAACAATTTAAGGCTAGGAGTCTGTCTAATTTATCTCGCTCTCTTGACAATGTGAAGCTGCACGTTTTGATGAATGCGCTTGGGCCTGACACATCAACATCATATATCGTAGCACCTGAAATGTCAGCAGTGGGATAACTCAGCGAACGGCAGCGCACAACGCCAATATATTTCTCTATATTTCTCTATATTTTAAACTTGATCTTTCACCAATTCTCTAGTACGGAATCCTTTATCTTTACTACACATTATATGCAACCCAATCAAAAAGAAATAATACAGTTGACCCCAACTTTGCCAGCCTTACAGCAAGTTGTCAGATCCAATCATGGCTTTTCTTCGATACATTTAGACTCTTCAAATTCACTTATCTCTCGCGAAAAAAATGAAAATGACACGAACACTTCTGAACATCTTAGAAATAACGGCGAACAACAAACTTGTGAAGTTGTCGGCTTTCAGGATCAACCTTACATATCGAAACAGGTTGTACATCGTAAGAAGACATCGAGTTGCCAGAGAATATTCAAACATGAAAGTGTCTCAATTGAACCATCATATAGAAAGATTGAAGAAATTCCTAATTTTAGGGTAATGAATAAAAGTAAAGGTACTATCTTTGGTCCTCAGCTGGCAGAATTTCCCAACGGTATATCATTTATTACCATTTTATATCTATTCTAACTTGAGCAGAAGTGCTAACGCAAATTTTTTCCTATCTACCCGCAACCTCGCTTTCGATTGTATCACTAGTGTCGAAGAGATTCCACATTCTAGCCGCTACATCTCATGTTTGGCGTATTGCTTTCTCTCGATTTTTCTCATGTCAAGATGCTGTCGACGATTCTGTCGCTGCTAATATCTCAATCTCTAGCTTATGCGGTCAGCAAAAAATTCGATCTGAGATACGATTTTTCTGCAGACTAACATGTCTTCCATCCTGGCGCAGTGAGTATATTACTCGAACAAAACTGATACGTTGTATCAGAAGGGGTAGACCGTTACAAATCACAAAATCTGCTGGCATATTTTCTCAGTCTCAAAATTCTCCAGGCAATATCACTGCTGTAGTGACTTTTAGTTCTGGGCTCAGAACTGCCGTTAAGCGTATTCATGCCATTTTTGGTTCTGAGGGCTCACCTCGTTTTATTCACGGAACTAATGAGCCTGGATCTGCAACTCTCAGTAATCCAAGCACAGGGAAAGTTGGAGATTGGGGTCTATCACAAATCCACGAAATATCACAGTTTTCAGAAATTTGGACAGGTCGCCAACCCTATGGCCTCGACGATAATGTTATAGGAGCTCCAAATCCTATGGAAGTAAGTCAACCATACGGTATGATTGTTGGCGAGTGTCTTCCCGGCGGAAAACTTTACTTTCGAGCTTCGGATGAAATTCGTGGTAGATTTCTTCCTATGACAACTAAGCTCGTAGATCATGAAACAGGTATTCCTGCAATACCAGAGATGAATGATGGGATTTCCGCAGTATGGATAGCAAAATCCAAATCGGTTCCTACAGTCACCAAGGGCTTAATAGGCATGTTTTGTGGCTCTACATTGGGTATTGTTACAGCCTACTCTCTGGGGCATGATAATTCTCTTGAGAGACGGATCCCAAGAGGCACTATCACAGCTAGGTGGGCTCTTAGTCCTGGAGTACCAATTATAGCCTTAGAGATTGATGAATCTTTCAACATAAAACGGAAGTCTAATGGGCGTGTTTGGGCAGTCGCGCTTAACGCTTTGGGTGAGGTTTTCTACCTCACAGAATTACCTTCGTCTATTTTAATTCATCAAAAACTTGAGAAGAAGGAACATGAGAGACAAGCCTGGATAACTGGTCGTACGGTGCAATGGGAATTAGTTGAATCATCACGCAGATCTATTCGAGACAATCCTTACAATACGAACAACACCCAAGCAAGATTTTACTCGAGATCATCATCAAAAAATTCAAATTTATCTCCAGGGCAGCTAAAAATCGAGACTTATGAGGTAGAAAAACAGTTTCATCATCTTCCAGGACATTTTCGTAAAACATTTGATGGTTGGGATATGCGTCGCAGGCTACATGTTGATTTTGCAGGTGACGACAAGAACGGAGCCGGAGAGGCAATATTTGTCATCATGTGTGGAACTTCAAAGAAATGCCAATCTAAAATTGAAAGGTTGACTCGATATAAAACTGTGCAAAAATTTGCTGAAAACGATTCTTATGCACAGCTATCTTCAACTGAGTTAGAATCTGTACCAAAATTCCTCATGACATCCACTTCTCTAGAATCTTCAATTTCAACTCTAAACATGGATAATATTAGCTCTCCCAAAACATTAAAAGACTGCACGAAGATTGCAGTTCCCAATAATTCATTTACTGAAACTGAAGGCAGTGGCGTTAGAAATGAATGGCACATCACTCGTTTTTCAATGAAAGAATGGTCGGACGTTGAGATAATTTGCAGTGCCATCGACATGTCAAAATATGCTTTGATGACAATTGGAGAAGATCCGATCTTTCATGTGAGAGAGGAAAAGAATAAATTTTCTCACATCAATGCAGAGTATTTTGAATCAATTCATTCGTCATTAATCCCGGGCCATCGTGCACGCTTGTTGGCCATAGGTACTAAAACTGGCTCTCTAATTTTATGGAATATGCGTGGAAATCAGTCCACCAACCCACATATAATTAACGAATCATCTCCTCTACGTATGATTCAGACTGACTCGCCGAAAATAACATGTGTTGCTGTATCTGCTCTACAAGTTGTTCATGGTGGAAGTGATGGTCTCGTACAAGCTTGGGATCCTTTAGCATCAACTACTCTACCGATTCGTACTCTCAACTCCCGATTTTCATCCCAGACTCGCCGCAGACTAATACAAGCCGAAGTTTCAACTACAGGCATGGCAATCCAACTTCCTGCTGCTGGCTCAATTGTACTCGACCCAGATCCGAATTCTCTACGCGGTATGGTTTCTTTGGGCACGCATTTGAGATATTGGGCTTATTCCTCTTCTGAAAATAATGAAAGCTATGGCAAAAAATTTCGAACGCGCCGCGCATGTGACGGACTCTATGAACATGTTACAGATAAGTTTACTAATACTGGCCGTGGAGAGCTACAGGATTACATAAACTCAGAGCGAGAAGAGCTGAAGAGAAATAGGCTACATCAAATTCGGGAAGATTCATTCTTACGTCGCCGTTTTGGCGTTGGTATTGGTGATCTTACAGAAGAAGAGTCGATTCGGTATGCAGAAATGATCTCTGCAGAAGAATATGCGAAAAATGAACAACTTCACGCGGCCCAATCCGAACATTTGGGGAACAAAAACGTGTTATCTGATGATGTCTCTGTTCTTGACAGACAATCTTCAGAACCTAATGTTAGGTCTAGTCCCTATTATAATTTTGAGAAAGATCTCGAAGAAGCCATACGTCTATCGCTGAACAATGATAATCTATAACTCTATAGTCAGGCCACCATAGAGTATTCAGGTATTTGAGCTTAAAAAATGCAGGGCTTTGGACTCTAGAAGTATAATCATGATATATGGTAAACGAACATCTTTAAAAAAAACAAGCCTAAGAATTAAACGAAAAATGCTTTTCAAATGCAACTGCTCAGCTTTTTTTAAACAAATATTTAATAAAAACAAAAATTAAGGGATAGGCTTACAGTACTTTGAGCTATAGATATCGAATATACCAACTCGATTTACTCTGTACCAACAGCGTTATCTCTGCAGCAAATTTCAGATTGTTTCAAACAAATATTGATGTTAGGAAACTTTTCTACTAGCCCAGTGATAAGGTTTAAATATAAGTATATCGGCTCATTCGAACTTACAGAAATTTAGGAATGCTAGATATGACACTTCATCTTGAGTAGTCACAAATGAAATTTTTGTTGTCAAGCCATTCCTATTTTTATCCTTCACATCAAGTCGCATCATTTCTATTTTAACGTTATGTTATATTTATTATTAGGTAGTGTGTATGTATCCTATTTCTGTTTCATACAACAGGAATTAGTAAATAAAGCTGTACTTATCAAAGACAGAAAATGTAAATTTAATGAGATACAATATCTTCAGGGGTATTTTACATCAAATCTTGTCAAAAATATAAATTTCATATCACGCTCTTGCCACCTGCATCTTCCAACATAAATTACTTGGCGCCTTTCATTGGTATCTATATTTACTCAGAGGTCATTCTTTTGACTTATCATCCTGAAACCAGATAATCTCGTCACTTATGTAAGGCCAGAGACATAGAGTAATATGTCATCTTGTGGAAGAAATACTGACATGACTAGGAGGGGTTCAATGGATCACTGGATAGAGTAAGATGAAAGGATTTAATGATTATCAAGAGCGGATGAGGTAGTGTTAAGAAAAAGACCCTACAAGTATACAGAAATTCCTACACTTATTTCTTTATCTATTATTATCTGTGAGGCTATAGTAACAGCAGGGGCTCTTAAACGCTGTGGACACAATGCTAAAAGTGTGTAGCATTCTAGAGATGATGTTTTAAACCTGAAATAATACGGTAAATGTAAAGACGTCCCAAGATGAATGTAGTTTATCTTTGATTTCATTTCATTTAGCCCGATTTAGCGCGATGTAGGCCTATGCAGGTGTCTGTAAACTGTTGGAATTAGCCACATTTTTTAAGGCCATAAGAATTCCTTGCGACTGTGAAAAACTTCCCTCCATACTACATACAATATACAATATACAACGTTCTAATTTCTTTTCGCTGTTGAGCGGTTTTCTCATGCATATGCAAGTGCGGGGTAGTATGTATTGAAGGATGTTGTGATGTGATTATTACATTTACTCTAAATTTATCTCTACCAAGTGCCAGGGATACAACACATCTATGCGAGTACTGCACAGCCCTACATGGCTATCATTACGATCGACTCTTGAGGTGCAGCTCTATACAATGGCATAGAGTAATGTGGGATAGTATTGTATGGAATTAAGATTGTAGTACTTCATGCATAGACGGTGATGTACTGTATAGCGGGTGCCAAATATGTGTATATAAGTCCTATCTACTACTGTGATATGTAGAATAATATAACCAAGCTATTCATCATATCGTCAAGCTCTGATAATCCTTATCCACCCTCTGCACTATCCCTAGAATATTCAACATCTCATACCTACTCATACCTTAATTACAACAGGTTATGAGCCCGGGCTCTTCCACTGCGGCACTTAGTAAGACTCAGTGGTAATCTAAGAAATATGGGAAAGGATAGCAGACACGTGCTAGGTGAGGGCATCTCTTTCTCGAAGTGGAATAGCAGTCTTCAGGCAAAGCTTGCCAAGCGAAATCTTCTCGGACATGTTTTCTATGACATCGAAGAAATAGAACCAGCAATTGCTCCTCAGGAACCACCAGTCAAGAGTGCCGAGCAGACACCTCAGCAGTACCAGGAATTAGTGGCAAAGTATAGAGCAGAAAGAGCAGCATGGAAAATAGGTGAAATCGAGGCTAGAAACATTATAATTGATCGATTAAGCGATAGCGTGTGTCCCCGTACATATGAAAAATATACAGCTAAGCAATTATATGAGAATGTGACAAAAACTCGATCAGAATCGGCAGCGGCACCATATGCATCAGCCCTTGAAATACTCCTCCAAACAAGGTTTGCTGGATCAGCAAACGAGTACTGTGATCGTTTCTTAGCAAACCTACAGAGTGTAAACAGTGCAGCTGATGCTCCTATCTCTATACCATCAATCTTGAATCCTGAACAGTCTGAATATGCGGTTCTTCCAGGACAGGCTGCAGTTTTGTTTACACTTGGCACTAAAGGGGTAGGATGGTTGGATAATTGGAGAGACTCAAAGGCTCTTGAAAGCGACAACAAATACTCCAGCCTTGAATTTATGATGTCATCGCTCAGAGCTGTTGCTGCAAATAGGACCCAAATAACGCATCGAATAACTCCAGCAGCTGAGGCCGAGATAGATGATAAAAACGATCCAGACGACACATGCACGCGATGTAGACACAAGCACAAGAATAAGGAGTGCTTTAAACAGCATCCAGAGCTAGCTAGACCACGCCGTAGTTATCAGGGACACAAATATTGGAAAGGAAAAGGAAAAGCTCGAGCTCTTGCTGGCAATTGCAGTAGTGACTCACACTCCGAAGGAACTGCCATAGCTGCCATGTGTGCATTTAGTTCCAATAAAATCCCTTCACTATATGATACAGGTGCATCGCACCATTTTTTACCTTCTAAACAAGATTTCGTCAGTCTTCGTGAGCGTTCTAGACCATTTAAATTTGATCAAGCAATAGGAGAAATGTCACTTAAGTATCAAGACACTGCGCACTTAAGAATCGGAAGCTTGAAGCTCAAGCTTCAGGATTGTCTGTACTCCCCAAACTCATCCTGCAACATTATCTCAGCTGTGAGACTACAGAGACTTGGAAATATAATTCCAGACTTTAACAATACGACGCTCGTTCAGAAACAAAATGGGCAGCCAGATAAACCTGTCGCACGACTCATTTCTAGAAACGATGTTCTATACATTCATCCCCTAGACCCGTGTAGTCTCATAGAGAAACCTAATGCTGTGGCTGCTCCAGGAGTTGCACGAGTTCCGATGACTTCAAGTGCACAACGCTGGCACCAACGTCTTGGACATACAGATCAAAAGATTCTGAAGAAAACGGCAGACTGCTCGCTTGGACTAGAAGGTATAGATATGAGCGACCTTAGCACCTGTGAAACTTGCCATCTTAGCAAGTCGCAACGTTTTGTATCTAGAGAGCCCAGACCAACTCCAAATAAGCCACTCGATGAGGTCTTTATTGACACAGTGGGAAAAGTGACGGAATCATTCAATAAAAACCAGTATGCTGTCATCATAACAGATGCTAAGACACGAATGCGTTGGGCGCTAGCCACCCAAACCAAGGATCAAATAGCATTTCGATTGGTCCAGTGGATAGAACACCAGGAACATCAATACGGAAAACGAGTTCGCATAATTTTCCGAGATGGTGGCTCAGAGTTTATTCGAACCAAGGAGTACTGCGAAAATCATGGTATACGAACAGATGTTTCAGCACCTTATACACCAGAGCAAAACGGTGCATCGGAAGCTGCGAATAAGGTCATCCTCAGGAAAGCTCGATCACTTCTAATTGACGCCGGTATGCCAGCTAGATACTGGCCTTGGGCAGTTCAGCATGCATGTTTTATCACAAACAGGCTATACTGTCCTCGAACTAGTAAAGTGCCACTTATCGACTTTCTCGAAGGGTTGGGACAGCCACACAATGAGAAGATTGACTTCACAAATTTGCCTCGTTTTGGATGTAGAGCTTACAAGTTAATTGACCCTAAACCAGGGAAATTTGATCCTAGAGCTGAAATGGGCTGGTTTATTGGATTTCAAGTTAATACAAATAAGAATTTTTTAATCTATCACCCCCATTGGACACCAACACATGGATGGAAGTGGATTGAAAGCTACACTCCTCGTGTAACTTTCAATGAAGATGTTGTTTTTGGTGACAAAATAGACTCAGTTGATCAGCAAAGATCTACCAGCTATTGGACTAGAGCGGATTCATTATTCTCTGATATCCCTTTATCAGGAGAACCCCCTAAGAATTCTCAAGTACCGTCAGCTCATGTTGATCAAATACCACAGGAGTTTGAGGGGGAGATTCAACCACATTCGTCAACAGAATCGATAGAAGATCAATCAATGGGACCAAATTTTCAGCCACCAATAGATCCTCCTGGGTCATCAAGGCTTAAAATCCAACCGGACATATCTCCGCCAGAAGTACCTGAATGTTATGGGAGCCCAACAGATTCAAGTCTTACTCACCCAAGTATTCCTAGTTCACCGACTATCTCCATCCAAAGCAAATAGGAGAGTGATCACTCAGGGTATGAGGATTCTACTGAATATTCAAAAGTCCAACATAAATCTACTGAAGTTCCGCAGTCCCAGGGTCTGATTCATCAACAAAGAGATCAAAAAGATCCAAGCTCGCAAGAAGAAACTCCTTATGATTTCATAATGACAGGATGGGATCCTCTGCAGCCATTTGCCGGCCAGAAACGCACACACTCTCCAGAGCCGGAAGTAATACAAACTAAACGCGGTAGAAATATCAAGAGAGTAGATTACTACCGCCTCCACCATGGAATGACAGCCTGCCAATCAACTGATCCGAAAACGTGGGAAGAAGCCATGACATGTTCAGAAGCAACACACTGGAAGCAGGCAGCATATGAAGAGTTCAAATCGTTGAAGAAGAAAAGAGCTATCAAAATCATGAAACGCAAAGATTTACCCAAAGGTAGAAGTCCCATGAAGTGTAAATGGGTCTTTAAGAAAAATTTCCTAGCAGATGGAAGCGTTGAGAAGTGGAAAGCCCGCTGTACTGCTAAAGGGTTCACTCAGAA